TTGCCTGAAGGGATGTGAATGGGGGAGGGGTGAAATAGATAAAGAGAACTGAGAGTACACTGACTGTGATTAGCACTGAGTAATGTATAGAATTGTTGAATTATTTTACAACTGAAACTAATATAATACTGTGTGTGAATTATATTTCAATTAAAAAAATTGTGGTCCCATTTATATTTTCACATTATATTTAGATCTATACCTGTGAGTAGATCCTTACAGAAGGACTGAAAGGATATAGACCAAACCATTAACAAAGGCTCCCTCTGGGCAGAGTAGTAGAATGAGAAGAAAGCAGGTAAATAAAGGGGAAACCATTGCTCCTAACTCTTAAACACTTTCAGTTGTTCAAAAAGGATAATAATTCAGCTAATATTTACTGAATGTCTACTATATATCCAGGTATTATGGTGGGTTTTGTTCAAACAAAATGAAATGACAGAGTGTTTGCCTGCACTGAGCCCCATCTAATAAACACATAAAATGTCTTCTGCCTCCACGCACAGCACATGCCATAGACATGACTCATGTCAATATTTTGGACCCTCCAGGAAAATTTTACCATCTCGATTCTTCAAATGGGCCCTCCCCCTCCAATGATCCTGCTCCCATGGACTTCTTGACTATCATCATGACAAGCAGGAGTAGAGTGTAGCCTAGTGGTTAAGGCTTGGGCTCTAGAGTTAGACTGGGTGTGCATCTGCCATTTGTTCACTGTGTGACCTTGGGCCAGTCTCTTAATATGCCTGTGTCTCTGTCTTCTCCGGCAATAGGTACCAAACCTAGGTTGGTAAGAGGATTACATGAGCTAAAATATGCTAAACACTCAGAATAATGTTTGCCATGTATTAAGTGGTCAGGAAATGTTAGCCATAGTGTCTCAAAGAGCCATCTGCAAGCAACAGACTGTCCCAGAGATGAGGAGAGAAGAAAAAAAGATCATCCAAGGAAACTTAGAGATAATTTTACAGATGACAGCACAAAGAAGGGCATAATGGCTCCCTGTCTTGCCCACGGTCACACAGGTGGTCAGCAGCAGTGCCAGGGCCAGAATTCAGGTTCTTTCTGCCCCAGCACAATGCCCTCAAGGAAGAGAAAGCAGGAGAGCTCCAACCTGACTCTCCACTTATATATACATTACAGGTCTTATCTACTTCCATAATTGTGAACTACAAAGTTACAAGTATTAACGTGTGAAGAGATGATTCTCTCAGCATGGGGAGAAAGAGCTACTCTGCAGACACTGTGTGTATGGGAGGAGGGGAGAGTTGGAACAATCACATCCATGTCAAAGGCTTTAGGGGAAGGCCTATTTCTAAAAAGTATGAGGGATAATAGCCCAGAATGCCAGACCACTTCAGCAGAGCTCCCAGACAGACATCACGGAGTCTAAAAGGTATGGCCCAGGCTCACCGCTCAGTCCTACCCACACAGCCTGCAGGCCCTGAAGGGAGGTCACAGAAGTAGTGGAGTGGATGGAGAGCCAGGGAGCGTATGCTGGGCAAGAGGTGGAGCCTGGACCCCAGAAAGAGATTGTTCCAGAAACACCTCCACCATATAACTGCTGCCATTTCAGCCCACCATCTCCCACCCATCTATGTCCCAAGCCTCCCCTTCCCCACCAGGCTTTCCATACCATCCTCTCTCCTACCTCTCCTACCTGTTCAACCCTTCCACCTATGCACCTCCCACAGATTATCCTGCATCACAACCCATTGTCCCCAAGGATAGATCCACATTTTCCAGCCTCAGTGCTTTGCCCATGTTTTCCCTTTCTCCTAGAATCCCTGCCACCTGCTGTTCCATGATCCCTTTCCTCTCAACCTGACCTATTCGGCAAAGTCCTTTCCCAGAAAACCAACCCTTCTATGAATCCGTCCTACAACAAGTCTTCCTTCCATTCTCTGCACTCCCAGAACCTTTTAGCTCTTTCTCTGGCACCTGATAAATTCTACTCTCCTCTCAAGACTCTCTCTCCTTTACAGACTTATATAGTGCATCATTAACAAGAGGTCAGCATTCAGTAAATGCTAGTTGCTAATTCAGAGGTCCGAATGGTGGCTGGGAAACTGACATGCAGTGGAGGAAGCTGAGAAGGGAGGAAATAAAGAGTGAGGACAACAGCAAAGACGTACTATGTGCCAGAACTATTGTTTAACCTATGTTAACTCACTTAGTCCTCAAGACAACCCATGAGGTAGGTACTATTAATATCTCCACATTACAGGGCGCCTGGGTGGCTCAGATGGTTAAGCGTCTGCCTTCGGCTCAGGTCACGGTCCCAGGGTCCTGGGATCGAGCCCCGCATCCGGCTCCCTGCTCAGCGGGAAGCCCGCTTCTCCCTCTCCCACTCCCCCTGCTTGTGTTCCCTCTCTCGCTGTGTCTCTCTCTGTCAAATAAATAAATAAAATCTTTAAAAAAAAAAAAAATATCTCCACATTACAGAGGACGAAACCCAGGCACAGATGGTCTGACTAACTGATCCAAGGTTCAAACAGTGGGGTTGTGAGTTGAACCATCCCACGGGCTCTTTCTATTATTTCTCTGCAGCACTGTTCTTCTAACCCTGCATCCCTGAAAACCACTTCAGCTGTTCCATCCACTGTTTGCACTACCGTTCTGATTCAAAAACACTCTGCAACTTGCAATTATGGCACCAAACCCCCACCTATTCCTTTCTGAGCCAGAAATTACACATCAATTCTGGCCAGATCTGCCATGACAGTAAATAATATATGACAAAGTCTCAAATCCAAAACATTGCTTAAACAAAATTATAGATATTTTGAATGGAATGGGCCTTAGGCCATTCACCTAGCTCAGTATTTGCCATCATTTCCCTTTCTAAGTCCTGAAATATGTGACACAATTATCTGCAAGTATACACATCTACTATCACTCTAAATATTATTTTGATAGAATTATGGGATTAACATACAATTTATAAGGTCATCGATGCATACAATTGTCTGTCACATATTTAATGAGCTTTTTAACAATCATAAAGGAATTTGATCTCCCACTATGGACAGGAGAACATAGAGAAGATATATTTGGGTTACAAACATGTGAATACATGTTAAGTGAAACAGCAGTTACCTATAGAATTCAGAATGTAAGTTAATATTAAACATCCTATTAACAGGAGCAGAAGTTCTATTAATTTAGAATAAGTCTGATAACTTTCTCAATATTCTATCCAAACATTCAGGGAAGGGGGGATGGATAAAGATTTCAGCTTTACAAATGTATACTCTGTTCCCACAGAAAGAAAATAGGAAAATAAATTCATCAGTAGATTCAACTCTTAGGTTTGGAGAGGCTTACAACGGGATACCAGTTAAATTTCTGTTCCCAGGAAATTTTAAAATAACACACACGTAACCAAAAAATTAAATTGTTAGCAAAGCAGAAGGAAAGGAAGCCGGGGGTCTGTGCAGTTTGTGGCAGCAAGCGATATTTTCATCTCTCTGATGAAGAGCAGATAATGAGAACAGCAAAAAGACGCAGGAGAGAGATCACAGCGGGAGAAATAAGATATCCAGCACGTCTCCAAAACTTACCCAACTTGGTCTGTTTACTCAACACTATTTTTCTCACTTTGCCAGTTTTAAATCAGACAGCGGCTGGGCTTTTGTTGTTGCTGTTTCTGTTCTTTTGATCCCAGAGCCCCATGAAAATTAAACTGTGTGCTGGATGGGATCTGGCCCCGTCTCAATTAGCGGGGAGGGGGGGAAGTTTTAAGCTTGGATCCTCGGTTGCTTCTTTGGGAATATGAATAATAAGTGGCTAGCAGGAGAGAACGTGGGAGACGTGCCCAGCTGACGTCGGGCCCGCGAAGGGGCCACACAGTTCCTCGGCGCAGCTGTCCAGATGTGCTTCATCTGGTTCCCCCGCGGGGCACGAACCTCGGCGGGCCGACTACCCGGAGCTCCAGCTCATTGGTGGCCGCGACTCCTCGCTTGCCTCCTATTGGCCAGCCAGCCCGCCACTCTCGAGGGTTTCGGCCCGCCCCCGCCCGCCGGGCTAGCTCGCTCCATCCTCGAGAGGAACCTGGAAGTGCAGCGCGGGCGCTGATGTGGCACTCAGCAGCGGCAGCGGCAGCGGGCCCGGGAGGGGCCCGGGATCGAGAGGGGGTCCTGCGTACCCAGGATTTACCCCTGCCCTGGCCCCCGTTATGCCCATGCTTTTAGGCCGTTGGGCTGGTTTGTTTAAACACGATGATTGCAGTCTGTTCTTGGGATGAAATTAAGGCACGCCAGAGTTGGCTTAAAGCCCCCGCATTTCCGAGTGGAAGAGACTGGGGCCCCGGGATGCCCACGCCCCCAAAAGGCGTTCAGGCCACGCCTGAGGACTTCACTCTTGCCGCTTTCTCTGGGGAGCAAATAATAAAAATCAAGATCCTGTTTCTTGGGGACAGTATTCTTTTGCTGGGGGAAAAAATTAATGAATTCTTTATTGAAGTCATTATTAACCGGGGAGGTGGCTGTTTCTGCGGAGAAGCCCAGTGTTGGTTACAGGAGTGCTTTGGAAGACTTGGTGGGCTTAGAATTTTTTGATGGGTGTTGGTAGTTGTAGAAAAATGGGAAATATTGCTTTATTCTGTGAGAATTTAGACAGAACTGCACCAAACGAGACTTTGATCCTGGGGAAATCATTGAGGGGTTGACTGGTTGGTTGATTAGCTGGGGTGGGGAGGAGTGGTCTGCAAATCGATTGCAATTATAATGTAACGATATGGTAGAAATGTGACTTCACTAAAATATTAAGATGCCATGAGCAACACTCATTTGGGCCACACACCATGAAATATTCCAGGTCTTGTACTAAATAAACCATTTTACCCACATTATTATATAATTCTTACAACCATCTTATGAAGTCGATATTATAATTATCTCCATTTTCAGATGAGGCTACCAAGATGGAGAGAAGCCTACTCTGGCATGCTACCAAGGTCTCCAAATTACATTTGTGGTACCTCATCATGGGTACTTACCATCATGATCTTACCTGCCATTTGCCAGGAGGGGATGGGTCAGAATTTATTGAGTGCATGCCTTTACCTTCTGATGTCCAAAGCTTTCACTACACAGATGATGTCCTCATGGTTGTTGTATTTGTTACCTATTGCTACATAACAGATTACCACAAATTTAGTAGCCTGAAATACCACACATTTATTATTGCACAGTTTCTAAGGGTCAGAAGCTCAGGCATGGTTTTAATTGGATCTTCTGCTTAGAGTCCCACAGGTTGCAATCAAGATGTCTGACAGGCTGCATTCTCATCTGAAGGTTCAACTGGAAAAGAATCTGCTTCTGAGCTCCCTTAGGCTGTTAGCAGCATTCATTTCTTTGCAGTTATAGGGCTGAGTTCCCAGTTTCTTTCTGGATGTCAGCTAGCAGCTGCAGTTCCTAAAAGCCAGGAGGTGAAGATCATGGGGGACCACCTTAGAGTCTGTCTGATACAGTGGCTATCAGACACCTTAGTCAAGGTAGCCCTGATTACAATGTAATCACACCTCCACAGATCATCCAAAAATTTAGGATCCTGTTCACCAAGTAAAAAAAATATGTGAGTAGATTATCAATATTCAATCCTTCTGGGAGTCATGGAAGCTCACAAAGGAGAGGTGGCCAATGTAATTAATCATGAGTTTGGCTTTCTGGAGCATTTGTAATCTGATGATGGTGCACCTTTTATCTAAAAAGCTACTCAACAGTGGGCTGATGGTCAAGGTATATATGATCAACCTTCCACACTCATTACCACTGACGAGCATCTGATATTATTAACCACTGGAACAGTTTCCTCAAAAATCTACTAAAAAAAAAAAGATTCCTGGGGAATTCTACTTGTAAGAAAATGGAGTAGACATAATTTTACCTATCTCCCCTGCTAGTACAACTAAAAATCCTGACTTAATATCAGGAATACTCTGTTTTATTGTGCTTTGCTTTGCTGTGCTTCTCAGATACTGTATTTTTTTCCAATTGAAGTTGTGGCAACCCTGTGTGGAACAAGTCTAGTGGTGCCATTTTTTTTCAAACAGCATTTGCTCACTCTGTGTCTCCATGTCACATTTTGGTAATTCTCACAATATTTCAAACTTTTTTGTTATTATTATATTTGCTATGGTGATCTGTGATCAGTGATTATGACTTGCTGAAAGCTCAGATGATAGCATTTTTTAGCAACAAAGAACTTTTTAATTAAGGTATGTACATCATTTTTTAGACATAATGTTATTGCACACTTAATAGACTATAGTACAGTGTAAATATAACTTTTATGTGCACTGGGAAACCAAAAAATTCATTTGACTCACTTCATTGCAACATTCACTTTATTGCAGTGGTCTGGAACCGAACCAGAAATATCTCCAAGGTATGCTTGTATATATAAGCATAGGAAGACTGTGAAATGTTGCAAGAAGAAGGTAGACAAGCTAATAATCTAGGGACCCAAGGAATGACATGATGGTGAGTTCCTTGGGTTTTCTTTTTGTCTCATTGGCCCAGACTTGGAAAACTACAGACAAATTTCCCTCATAAACATAGTTACAAAAATCCTTAACAAAATATTAGCAAATAGAATGCAACAATATATAAAAATAACTAATTGTACACCATGACCAAGTGGGCTTTTTCCCAAGGATGGAAGGTTTGTTTAATATTCAATCAGGGTAATCCATAATATTAACAGCCTAAAGAAGAAAAATCACACAGACTATCAGTCAATACAGAACAAACATGTCACAAAATTCAGTACCATAAAAATGTTCAGAAAAAGAGAAATAGAGGGGAATGTCCACAATTTGTCCCACAAAAAACCTATAGCTAATATTACACTTAATGTAAAAGACTAGATGTTTTTCACATATATGTTGTGACTTTATTTCTATAACATCCTCTGCAATGACAAAATTATAGAAAGGGGCAACAGCTTCATGACTGCCAGGGGTTAACCTGCATGATTGGGAGGTTAGGGTGGGAAGGGAAATGAGCATGACTATTAAAAGGCAACCTGAGGGATCCTGCAGTGATGGGTATGTTCTGTAACCTGACTGTATCCATGGCATATTGTGCTATAATTTTGCAAAATGTTACCATTGAGGAAAACTGCAAATGGTATGTGAAATTTCTCTGTATTTCTTACAACTGTGTGTGCATCTACAATCATCATAAAATAAAAAGCTTAATTAAAAAATATTTTTGACTTTATCTCCCTCACCTCTTCCTGGTCAACCTAGTAAAGCAGTTTGGTCACTGAGCAAAAATGCAGCTCTCTCCAGAAAGGGATAATATCCTCTGGGCCAATTCCTGGGTCATGTTCTGGATGGAAGGGGTGGAAGGGGATACGGAAGTCTTTTGAAAATTCAGAAGTCTGCCCTGGCCATTCTTGGGCATGATGTTTCATTCTTTCCCCTAATGGCAATACTAGGCCATCTAGGTTGGTACACCTTCCAGGTGCAGGCTGGCCAAAAGAGGGCCTAGAGGATTCAAATTTCATTCTGGTTCAGCCGCCTGCCTTCTCTTGTTGGATCGATATGGTCCTAGATCATAAGGATAATGAACACTTGGTTGAGTACATTGCTCACTGAGCCTCCCATGCAGGCCCAACTGGAGGACATAAGGGATCTCTCTGTAAGTTTTATTAAGATGTGTTTGTCCTTCGTGCACCTGACCCTCAGACAAAAGATGTGGGAGTGAAGAGGGTATGATTAGGAAAGAGGTGAGGTTATAGCTGCTGGAAGGGACACACTGATTTTGTAGAGACAAAGGGACAGCAAACCTAAGGAAGGACACCATAAACCCTGGGACATAGGGAGGAGTGCATGGGAACATGGATCATACATTATCTTTCAGAACTGCCCCTGGGAGCTTTCTCCGCAAGGAAAATGCCATGATGCAACTCTCCCAAACTGTTGCAAGCATCTTAGATGACACAGTGGGTATGTCATTCCCTGTCAGACAGCTCTGACCACAGTTTAATAGCCGTTCCCCTTAACTTTACTATAAAGTCTATTGGAAACAAGGGGTGACTCCAGGCCCTATACATTCCCTGACAACACCTGTCAACACTTCTGAATATTTTCTTCACTCCCATTCTCAGTCCTCCCATAAGCTAGTGACATAGACAAACAGGGCAGATTGGATGACTACCCTCAGGTAGTCTTTCCAAAAACAGAGACTAGCTTCAACTATCCCTAAGGCTTACCACCTAGCCAGGAGGCCACATTGGAGGCACTGTCAGTCTATACCCCCTATCCCACACTGATGCATACTCACCTGAGTTGATACTTCCCAGCAATTATCAACAACTCTGGTCTTTCCAGGGACATCACGTGCATCCCCAAGAGTGTATTTCTTGAAGTGAAGGCCAGGCACTAACTTACCTCCCTCCCCAAAACACAGTGAGTTGCACCTTAGCAATTGTCACAAGAGACCTGTAAGTGTTTAAACAAACCAGCAGCAGATCATGTAACTCTCAGACCAAAGAGAAGATCTCTCAAAACTGAGACTATCCTGGGGCGCCTGGGTGGCTCAGTCGTTAGGCGTCTGCCTTCGGCTCAGGTCATGGTCCCAGGGTCCTGGGATCGAGCCCTGCATTGGGCTCCCTGCTCCGCGGGAAGCCTGCTTCTCCCTCTCCCACTTCCCCTGTTTGTGTTCCCTCTCTTGCACTGTGTCTCTCTCTGTCAAATAAATAAATAAAATCTTTAAAAATAAAAAAACTGAGACTATCCTTAGTTACTTGAAGACGCTTCCCAGAGGGGTAAAAGACATTACTTATGTGGAACTTGCTGGAATCTTCTACTACAATGGGAGTCATCCAATTAGAAAAAACAGTCCAAAATTTACCTAGCTGAAGTGATCTTGTTCATCAAAGGCATTCAGGTCAGGATGATAGACTATCTCTATGGGCC